TATCTACACTCTTCTTGTCATCTTGTAAATGGCATATCGCTGGTTAATCTGACACAGCCCATGATTCTTCTTAGTGAATTCAGTGTGGCTCAAATGAAAAGCTTTGTTAAAATATGCAAGTGCGCGAAAGTCAGTTGAAACGATCTTAAGTTGGCGTGACGTTGAAGTCGTGCGACCCTGCTGCTGTACTGGCTTGTAGTTCGTTTATAGCATAACGTTAGCATTTTGCTTCTGCCGACTAGATTTATTATTCAAAATTATAAAAGTAGAGTTGACATATGGATATTATCCGGCTGAAAAACGTGATCCATCTCTTAAATATGTGTCAACCACAGATCTTATTTCGAGCTATATTCCAAAATCCTATGGAGAAATTGCATTGCGTTTTAGACGAAGGAACCGGAAGGAGTTTACTTCCGGGTTTAAGCACGCGTCACTGCGGCTCTCTATTCTGTTTACAGTTCTATCCGATTATTTAATACGATGTATACGATTGTTGTTTCTTTTGATGTAAAATAAAAAGCAATGTTAGTTTTGTTCACAATTTGTTTAGTTAGTTTACCTTCTTTTTTTCTCCAAAAAAAACGATAAAAGTACCGTTAAAGCACCGGATCGATAAGCGGTATCGATAAAAGTAGTAGTAAGCCTACCGTTAAATCTGAACGATACCCATCCCTATATGTGGATGTCAGTATAACACACATTCTGAGGCCGCCGTGCCTATGTTTTGTTTTCACTGCTAGTTTATGCTTATGTTCAATTAGTGTATTCAAAAATCATTAAAATCATTAATGAAGTTCCAGCTCAGACCCCACGCTTAATAAGTCTCCCCCTGGCCCACCTACATTTCTCCAGGCCCACCCACACAATAATTCCTGGCTACGCCACTGCTCTGAAATCTGGATTTATTTTTCTTGCTTTGTTCTATGGCATTTAGGTAAATATCTTTTGGTTTTGGACTCACAAACAAGAAAGACCTTAAATATCACCCTGGACTCTGAAAAACTGGGATTTTTTGAGCTTGCTGGAATTTCAAATATAAATCTGACTTCCTTAGGATCACTGTTAACATTATCATAAGGGTTTATATACATTCATGTCTAAATGTCACACTGTAATGGCGCAAAAAATGCTTTTCAGCTATTAAGAGAGCAGGTGTTTCAGATTTACAGAAGTTATTGGCAGCTTCATCTTTGTAAACTTGATTTCTGATCTAGAAAAGCAAACCTCTTGAGCAAACAATCAAAAGAGCCAAAGAACTAAAACAGAGTGAAGGAAACTACTTGATGCACCAAATTATTTTTTAATAACCGTATGACCCAGTTACGCAGCAGTGACGTAAAACAAAAACACCTTGCTCAGCCAGATGGATTATTCGTCTTGTAGTGCCATCGACAATTCAAATGATAATAACTTTGGTATTCTCTGCTTTCTATGAAGGGAAAACACAGATGTTTTCATTACGCACAACACCACAGTGAGTACAAAAAGGATCCATTAGTTCCTACTTAAAAATAACTAACTCAAAATATTGAGATACTCAATCCCAATTTTGACAAAGTTTCTCATTATTTATGCTTTTTTTCTCCTCTCAGTGGCAGAGAAGAGCTTACATAAGATTGTTATGAAAGAAATATCATTTATATTTGACCCTCCTGGTAGAGATAGAGGACAGTAATGGTCGTTTTGTACCCCACATTTCCACTAAGCATGTATATAGGTCCTGTTTGTGAATGTCTGTGTTTGGGCCTGTGTGTAATGTAAAATAAGTCCAGAGTGCAGAACTATATTTCCCCTCAGGGATTCATAAACTGCGTTTTAATCTTTAGTCTGAATCTCAACCAAGACTTTAAAAGACGGGTCAATAAGGAACTGTAATTATAATGACTTTACAAGAGGGAAAGAAGAAGAACAAGGTTGGAAAAATACGCCTCCTGCAGGAAGTCATCAGGAACAACCACAACTACAACTAATTAGAAGCGTTTTGGAGTGTTTAGAGTCACATTTAATCCTGGATGGTGCTGAAATAAGTTGGGATTTATCTCGAAAGAACATACAGTACATACTAGGGATGGACCATATTGAATGAAGCTGATATTAATCATTAATACTGTTATAAGTGATATTTTTGTTTGCTGCTATATCAACTCCAACATGAAATAACACAGGTATTTTCACTAGATGTCTTGAATGCTCTATTTTGAAATATTTAATTATTCTTGAATTATGAAGGCGGTTTTGTAGTGGACTGTATCTGCATTGAAAATGTTATAAATAAGAGTTTGAATTATAACTTTAAATCATTTTGAAGGACTACTTCAGAAATCACTGGTGGCATCAACATGACAATTGCCCTGTACGCATTAAAACATTTCATACATGCGTTTAAAGGCTTCATAAATAAATAAATGAATCATATATCTGTATTTAAATCAACAATGGAGTTGATCTTATCTTAAGGGATTTACGTTTTGTTGTTTTTGAATTATTTTGGCATAGTTCTGTTTTACAAGTTATATAACACAAAGCCAATACATAAGTTCATTAAGACATGAATTATCCCTTTCTAGTTTTTATTTAAATAAGAGTGCACTCCTATTCTCCTGAATAAAATAAAAGTCGTAAGCCAAGTGGAAGAAGAGGGGGAAGGGGGGGAAGAGGACTAGAGTGAAAAGATGAGTTTTAAGGGCTTTGAGTTATTATGGTCGAACACCTTCCTCCCCTAGCTCTTCACTCACTGTTACATGCTTTAACAGCGCCCCTTACTCTTATTGTTACAACGGTAAAAAGGCATGAGCTAGCTGTGGAGCTAGCTGTGGAGCTGTGCTGAGGCCTCACCTGGCTCCGTACACGTAGAAGCAGTAGATGTGGAAGGTGAGCAGGGCCACCATGTCGGAGAGCAGCGAGAGGGCGAAGGTCAGGCCGAAGCAGGCCGACAGACCCCCGTACCACAGGATGCCCTCGATGAAGGGGGACATCAGGTGGATGTAGCCTGGAAGGGAGAGGGTGCATCAGGGAGAATGAAAGCCTCTCACGGCCAGGAGCAGAGATGCTGCTTATATCTTTCTTTGGCATGGAAGTGATCAGCACGCTCAAAAGGTCTACCATGATTATTTAATGCTTCATCATCTCCACAGCAACGGATCAAGAGAGGGCTTATCTAGCTCTGAATGACAAATGAACACATGAAGATAACTTTTGCTTTAAATAAAATATATATTTTAGTGTCAAGAAACAGACAGCGTTTAAAGCAACATATGTATATGTTAAAACAACAAACAGGGCATTTGAATGATAAGATGATCCTGGGAGGATGTCTACATTATTAAATATCGGCATATTTCTTGCTCATTGGTAGTTCTTAAACTCTTTCATTTAGGGTAAGGGTCCAGGGACAACAACCAAAGCTGGAGACAGGACTAATTCTTTTTTATTTAATTGTATTGATTGATTTTGGTTAACATGAGTGATGGTGTAGTTAAAACACCGCAATGTTGAAAATCAAGCCTTTTAGAAGGAGTATATTAACATATAAAAATAACCTTTGCATCCTAACGGTTAATATGAACTATTCTCCAAACTGTGAGGACTTTGTACAATTCTTTGTATCAGTCATTGTCAAAGCCCTGTGTGTGTGTGTGTGTGTGTGTGTGTGTGTG